GTACCCATGTGAAACTCCGTCCCATTTCATGTAGGCCTTTCTGGTATTCAGCTGATCTGTCTTGAGTATCTCTATGCTACATTGCAAATCTGTGGTACAGATGGATCCTGACTGATTTCTTTTAGTGCTCGAAGTAGGATGGGAATATGTCACACTCACTCATCAGTGACCTGCAGAGTATGCTGGCATTTAAGTATGTGTATATGGTTCATAACTGTACTCAAAATCTTTCGTAATTGTCTCATACATGTAAAGTGTATAGTATATTCAGCATCTTGAGAGAGCAGCTCTTGCACTTTCAATCAGTCCAAGCATGTAATGGCAAATCAATGTATCCTATTTCTGTTGAATCCTCTGTGTACTGCATGACTATGGTACATTGTGGTAATATGTAGTACATATTAATATATACTTTATAGCCTTGTAAGCCAACATTAAAATATCTGCGAAACTTACTCAATATTATTAAGGGAGACATAAACTGCATAGTGTCAGAAGTGTCGGCACAGAAAAACTACGTTGTCTCTTGGTGACACTCAGGAGCTGGATCCTCTTGCTATGTGACTAGATAAAAGCTTGTTCTATGACTGAAATGTAGTTCATAGAATAATGAACATCTGGAGGTCATGTAGGCCAAGATTCACCTCCTTGGGATTTTAACTGTGAAGATTTTTTTCCCTTATCTAATTGGAATTTTCCATGTTGCATCTTGTGTCTGTTGTTTGCAGGCCTTCTGCTGTGTACCTCTGGGAAGTCTGGCTTCATCTTTCCTACACCCTCCCTTTAGAGTTCAGCATGGTAATCTGTCCTCTGCCTTCTCTTTTTAAGGCTGATCTAACCCAGCTCGCTCAGCTTCTCCTACTACTTAATGTGCCCCAACCCCTTTATCACCTTGGTGGTCCTTGGCTGGATCTGCTCCACTGTGTCAAAGTGTATTTTGTACAGGGGAGTCCAAAATTGAATACAGTTCTCTAGCTGCAGACTCACAACTGCAAAACAGAAAGGAAGAAACATCTCCCTTGACCTGCTGGCCACGCTCTTGCCAATACACCTCTTGCTTATTTCCACTCCATGATGGGACTCAATGTATATGCTACCGATGTCTCAAATGTCTTCAGACAGACATGCAATATAATCGTTTTTCCCTTATTCTTACAGCAAAATACAGAATTAGTGCCATTACTCCCTGTAGTACAGATTTTCTTACATTATTAACAACTTAAACAAAAGCCAAGCATTAGTATTCATATAGCCTCATTAAAATGCTATAAAAGTATTCACAGACAAGAAGATTCTAGTGGTTGAATCCTGTGAACTTAATAACATGTCCCTATAAAATCTTGCACTTCATCACTGCCCTTGCAGAGAATGCTTTTGAAAAGCTGAAGCAGTAAAGGAGCTGATAATATCCCCAGGTTTATGTAATGCTTCTTTTCTTTATTATCATTTCTTTGCAAGCTTCGCAAACATGCTCAAACAGGTGATGTATGTTTTCCCTGTCAGCTCTCCTCCCTAACTAAATAATTTACTTTCTAATGTAATAAATGTTGGGCGTATGCTTCCCAGGATGGATGCTTGAATCTAACATTCCATCAGGCAAGCTTTGATTATAGGGTTTTTTTAATTATGAACCTACAAGGCAGACCTGGCACAATACTTCCATGAAACTAGTGTGTTAGTTATCTTGAGGTAAATCTCAAAAAATGCAGTCCAAAAATGTACTGAATTTATACCTCCTTTATGTTCAACAGATCATGATTTACTACTTCTCATTTCAAGATGAAACTGAAGTTGGGTGAGTATTTCCAGACGTGGGTGCCTAAATATATTAGGACATATACATAACATAACATAAAAGGAGTAATTTTCTGGCGTGTTCAGTGTATGAAACTACTGTTTAGGTTAAAGAGATCTGAAAATAAGGAACCTGCAGTAAACACCCTGCATGACCCGCTTTTTTTGAATGCAGACCATTTCTATGTAAATTCCTGCGTTTGAAAATATTGGCCCTGGACTATAGGATATGCTATTTCAAACAAATAAATGTGTCTCTGTCACCAGTGATAAGTTCTAAAGTGTGTTAAAAATGACTGCCATTGATGAAAACAGGACAGGTTTTACTCTCTGTAGTAAATCCTGTTATGCATTAAAAGCTGAAACTACTGTACTGTGGTATAGTAACTTTTTAAAATCACCATGAACTGCTAGGTGTACAAGAAATTTACTCAGTTGCTGTTTAAGAACTACTACAGAATAATAGAAACACTAGTGTATGTATGTTATGTTGCTTAAAAATACCTTGCAATGCATGTATTACGCTTTACTTGTACAAACAGGTTTTACTGAATATTTAGCAATTCCTGTAACACTCCAGCCCAAAGTGTATCATCCTGCCATCAAACTAAAATAGATCTGACATTTTTCTGGCCTGGAGGGGCAATTGTTGCAATTGCTCTTCATTATAATTTAAATTGCATACAGTACCACCAGTGGAAAGAGGAGAGGCTTCTTTGCCTTACCTTTTATCTTTGCAAGATCTGTAGTTATAAATTGAAGCAGATCTTCTCAAATGACTAAGCACTTTCAATGAAAGTTCTCCAATGTCTCTCCTGTTTTTCAATTTTGGCAGGAAGATGTATGTATTAGTATTTTTCAGGATATTCCTTGCCTCTAAGCTATAAAAGCATCTGTAAGGCATTCTGTGACAAACTAGTCTTTGCTTTGAAGTGATGTTTACTAAAAAAAGCAAGGAAGGGTTTTTGTCAGAGAAGCATTTAGAATAGGTGTTGTTTTTTTCTGAGGGAAGAAAGGAGGGATGAAATCTTCACATTTATTTGAATTCATGACCACTTAAATTTTATCTGATTTTTTTTCCAGTTTGAAAGACTTCTGCTTCAAGTCAGGCTTTCCTACACAGGTATTTCCAAAGAACTTTAAAGTATGCATCATGATTCCCCCTGTTTTTTCCCCATTTCAAAAATATAAACAGATCATTTTTGGACTTTTGGTTTGAAATGTGTGTGTGAGGTGGAAAAAACCTGATGGCTCAACCATCTGGTCTGCTTAATTGCCCTTGCCGAGCACACCACTTCCACAAATACTGGTGCATATAAAAGGCACATGGTATAATGATAATATCACAAAATAAGATCATATCATACAGTAAAAATGACTGTATACAGAGAAGAGAAGAGGAGCACATATTCGGTTTTAAGCGTCGTCTTCAGCAATTCCTGAATTTTGGTGTAGAAAATGTTACGTCAGATGAGCTGAACATGTATTTATAGTCTGAAATTCTAGGACTGATTGTCATGCTAAATAAAAATACAACCACTATATATAGTGTTAGAACCAGAACAAAGAGAATGATGGGTAGAGCAACATGTTCCAGGTGTTTTCTTAACTGGCATAATGTAATAAATGACTGATGGACAATTGCATGAACCCCTTTAGAAACCTGAAGTTCTTCCTATATTTAGCATACTGAAAAATCTAGTCTTTCTTCCTCTTCTAGTGCAGAAATTTTGTTTCATGTATTTTATAAGAGTAACTTGCAGTGCAGAACCAAGACTGAAGCCTGCACCAGACTTTGGGCACCAATTAAACAAGCCCACAGACTTAAGACAATTCTCCACAGACAATTCTATTCCTAAGTCATTATCTGAGTGTACCCAAGTATGAAGCTGCTCAGGCAGGCTACATTAGCCAAGACAAAAATGCAGAGGACAGAAATGGGTGCTTGTGGGCATTGGTCTTGGTATTAGAATTGGTGTGTTGCTCCAGGACTGTTTATGCATTTTGAAGCAGAGAAACTTGGGTAAAAATCAGCAGAGGTACTGGGAGCTGCATCCAGGGCTAGGATTTTTCCTCTGCCCCACACCCAAAGGCACACTTTATTGCAGTGGTAAGACCAGCTCCTTCTGGTAGGTCCTGTGAATTTTGTATTGTTAGCTTCATGGCTGCACAACTTCAGAGGAAGTCCTGAAGACCTCTTCTCCAGACTGGAGCTAAGGCACTCTCTGGAAAAATGGCTTTGAATCAAACCAATAAGGGCAATTGGCTTCCCAATTGCTTAGTACGGTCTCTAACCTCTAGACTCTTACATAGAAAATGCAGCATAGGTTTATCTGTCATATGTTTGAACCAAAACAATGAAGTCTGGTCTGCTGTATGATCTCAGTATAAGGTTAGGTATGATCTAAATTTAGAAAATGGCCAATATCCCTCTGGGGACTTAGGCACAGGAGAAAGTAGTTCATGAATCCAAGTGAAAAGATGCTTAGCTCTACACAGAAGTTAAACTTAGGCAGTCCGCAACTCTGCTAACGAATTTCAATGTGGGAATACTCAAGTAGCCTAGAATACTGTAGACTACTGTTAAACTAAGGCACCAGTATTTCACCTGGTCTCACCTGAAGTTCTTAAGTCCATTTGTGGATCTGCGCCTATATTCACAGACACGGTTAGGTCTTCACAGTGGTGTCTTGGCACTCAAAGCCCTTTGATTGTTTTAGATACCCAATCTGCTTTAAAGCAGCATTTAATTTTAGTAATTCACAGCCATGGTGCTTATAAAAGATTATTCTGATCTTTCCCCCTCCCCTCCCTTTTCCTCTGAAATTGATAAATAGTCTATCATGTTCTTTTTATTCTGTTATCTGTCACAGACCACAAAATAATCTCAAAGCAACAGCAGATTTGATATCTGTGAATCTCAAATACTTTCTTTGTCTAGTTAGAAAACTGTTTTGTATACAAGAAACAATCTAACACTGAGGTAAACTTTATGAAGAAATCATAACACTGTTATAGTATGTTGCAAATGCTCCTTTAGAATAACCTGCACTGACTCATGGAAGATCTTTTGTGGATGACTGGTTCTTCATAAAACTTTGGTAACTAGGTCCCAGCTAGTACACAGGCAGCACTGCGCTCTTCTTCCTGATGCTGCAGTACATCAAACAAACGCCCTAGATGCTCCCCATTACAGGCTCAGTATCTGTCTGGTGGAGGTCAAGGTTACAAAATTCTGGGAACCAACCTTGTAGATCAGAGTCAGTGTGAAAAAGGGTATGTCAAGACAAGAAGAATAAGTGAGTAAGAATGTTTGCTAGTGCATAATCGTCTTAAGATTTCACAGCTTAATTCCTATTTGAATTCTTGCATTGTAAGTGGGTGATTTTCTCCATCCGGTACAGTTACAGATCTTCCCTTAAAGGCTTTTTCCTGTGGCAACTGCATACTGAGTCTCTGTCATCAGGCTGAGGTACAAGTTCCATTCCATCCCGTATTTCCGGTTTGCTGGCTTGGCGTTTGGCATACTTCTGAAATATGTAAACAACATTTAAGGATGCTATAAGCTCCAACGTATAATTCATGAAACAAAATTTTCCTCCTCCCTTCCACTCACAAGCTTGCCTTTATCCAGGCTCCTTATGTCATTGTTTACAACCTGTGTACAACGTGTCTTTATAACACACCTACTAATAGGCTACATTACCTCTGAAACCCACCTTTAATGTCTTCCCCTGTCCTATTATTAATGGTAATTTCAATATTGCCATTATTTGTGCCTCTAACCACTGAATGCAGATAATGCTATCATTTTTGTACACTGAACAGTTCCAAACTGTGTGTCAACCTGCGGCTGCTGAAGCTGAGATCTAACTCTGCACAGCAAAACAGGAAAAAGAAATTAGTACTTTCAGAGAACAGAAACTTCTTTCACCAGAGATTTGCATCTCCTAGGGAAGTAATGACTGTTTGGCCTGCTTCACTCCTTACCACTCTACTAGCTGTAATTCTGGAATTTCTTTTCCATATATTCATTGGTTTGTAATACAGCAGAGTAACTCATGAGGAGTTAAGTATGAAGGGAAAAAGGAAGAAAGTTGTGTACAGATTACCTATCTCCTACATCTATTAGAAACCACACACCATGTGACACTGAAAACTGACTGTGGGGATAGGGGCAAAAGAACATGGTATCTGAGTCTGTAAAACAACTATTATGTCAGTTAATGAAGTAAGTTTTAAGAAAACTCTTCACACTGATCTGTGAATAATATGAACCATGTCTGCTATTGATTGAATATGAAGTTCATAGCATCAGTAGCAGTTGGGGAAAATAACAAAAGGGATGTACTGTACAAACCTCGAGCACTTTGTAATAGTAGCAGTAAAGCCTGTGAGGCTGAAGTAATTCTCTTGCTATTAACTGTCCTTCTTTAGCAATTTCTCTTGCTTCTTCATCATTTTCCTGGAAGATTGAGATGAAATGAATGAATAATAGAGCAATCAGCAAGTTACGCAAAGCCTGGCTGGCATTAGAAGTTTTATTAAAGGGGCTATTCAAATCTGGAACAAATCTGCAATTACTGGTAGACTGTAAAGGCACACTTTAACTTGCAGATTTTTAAAAAATACCAGATTGCTTTTATGGTCACAACCGGTCCCTTGGGGCTATCACTAACAGCTTTCATGGGTAATTGTACCATTCTGAAAACTCAATTGATTACTGCTCTACTGTTCTGTCCAAGCCACAAGTCTCTTCAAAATCAGGTCCAAAATCTCCCAGACGTACTTAGTTTTACAGAGGACAAAGCCACAGTGTTGTCCTTTCCTGTGCAATCCAATGTCTTCCTTTAAAAAAATAACTCCACTTCCATTCATGTATTTACTCCCAGGTGTTTTAGGTCTCTATTTCAAAACTTTAAGTATTCTCATCTGATTCTTCATGAAGAACAACAGTACTCTCAGAACAGAATCTTTTCCTATGCTTTTTAATCCAATAGCTAAACTTAAAGCACAAGTGGTGTTTTCAATCTCACTATGATACTGGTTTGGTTACAGAATGGTCTCATTCTGAGCATGTTACAGAGCAGCAATTTTTTGTACATTCAAACCAAACATGCAGTGACTTCTGTTCTAGTCAAGACCCAAAAATGATAAAAGAATTATTTAAGTGGTATCTAGGATTCTGGGTGTTTCTTTGAAGATTAGCTGCATTAGTCAGTATACCAAGACTCTGACTCACTAAACACTTCTGCACATACCTAAAATGAATTCTTAAGCATTTCCCTCAATAGAGATGGTTACTTGAATTAAGGCCTTCCCATCTTATATTAACAACAAAATGTAATTCCTTTATCCCAGGATCTCAATATCAAGTTCATGCAAATGGAAAAGAGAATATTAAGATAAATTATTTACATATTTGCTTGTCACTTGGAACTTGAATTAGTAATGGAACTTACCTTAGCCCATTTTATTTTCTCCAGCAAGTCCTCTAAGTTTCTCTTGACAGGAACATAATGTTTCCAAGGTTTCAATCCAATATAAAAGTGTTCATAGTACTGGGAATCTTGCTTCAATACTAGACTGTCACCCAGCAAGAGGTATGGAAACCTGTAAGCTGCTACAGTCCCATCTACATTCACTTGGTATTTGTACTACAATATGAAGATAGAAGGAAAAAAGGTTAAACAATGCAAGCCAGAATAGGAACTCTGTCTGCTTATTTTCACAGGCAAGGCTTAATTGTGTTTATTAATTCTCATCTTCAAACCTGTTTTAATGTTAAGCAGGTGTAGTTTCATGGTGTTCTGGGTAACATACTTGAAAAAAAGATTTGTTTTCAACCCAAGACTGACAGTCAAGAACCTGTGTGTCACATGAACTGCTTGATGGATATTCTATTAAAGTTTCCTGGAATAGAGAAGGGAGTAGAGCTGGGAATGAAATAAAACTAATCTATGCTTAAATTCAAAAAGATTAAATTTATTCTGATTTAAAATTATGTACTTATGTAGAATATTCTGAAACATATTATTATATAAAATAACCTGAAACATTACACTAAAAATAACCATGAATGTACTGCTCTGGCAGTAAATGCTCACGGCTGTTACAGCATTTCTGATACATTAATCTCTTAACAGAACTTCAATTGCCATGTATTATAATGGCTTTTTACAGAACTCTGTCCTTTTTACTTTTTTTACCCCTGCTGCAGTGGAATTTGTGTGTTAAAAAGTGCAACAAAATCACCCGTCTATTTTGTTTACTGAATGGAATTAACAAAAGTAAGCCTTGTCTTCTCAGTTGGTAGGAACCTGAAGCAAACTTAATCCAAGACTGTAATTTGCATGCTACCTTAAAGAAGTCAAAGAAGCCCATCAGTGGAACCTTTCCCAGCTCTTTTTCTTTTTCTCTGAAGAAGAAATATCCTGTTATTCCAGCATCTAGTAGTTCTGGATTTTCCTTGGATAACTTGACAAGATGGAGACGTTCTTCTCGGCTGTCTCGACCTCTGAATAAAGCTCGTTCAGTTTTGTTTTCCCAGAATGGGCCTATGAGCATTGAGTGGTAAGTTAAAAGCAAACAGTAATGAAATGTTCATGGTATGTGTAGTGCAAATAAGGAACATACTATGATTGTGGCATTATGCTCAGAGACATGGTAAACGAGGCATGACTTCTTGTAGTGAATCCATAATTTTTTATTTGTCATGGGTTTACACTCCCAGTTCTGGCTTGAATTTTGGGATGAGAAACTGAACCACTCATAAAAGGAAAATCAGAGAATTGCTTTTCCACTCAACAATTTTATATTTAAATAACTTGAAACATCTTGCAAGCTACATACGGTATTATAATCAAATTGTGTAAGTAAAATACTAATAATTAAAGTAATTCCCCATCCATAAAGCCTGCCACAATAACCGAAATTTCTTTAGTAAAATTTATTTCTGTCGCTTAGCAATTTAGTTAGGTCTTTGAGGAATCACTTAATGATGACTTAAGATGGAAAAACTGGCTATATTATGTCCTCAAAATACTTAGCAAGAGCCTGAAAGACTTCATCTCTGGTTACTGCCTGCTTTTAAAAACATGAAATACATCCTTCCTCATCCTTCTACTGGAAATTTCGTTAAAGGACCTTCTAAAGTGGAATAAGCTCTTGCCATCTTTTAACAGGAAAAGCAGCTGTATTAAATCAGTAAACACAGTGCTTCAAACAGGTAACTGAACTAAACTAATTTAAAAGCTAATAAATAAAAGAGAAACTGTGAACTAATAAAATACAAAGAAGTATCTCCTAACTCAAGTTTTGCTCCTGAAGTATTGTTCATGCCATTTATCTGATCCCTAAGTATTCATTAATTTCCTGGGGGGGAGGAAGAGTCAGTAAAACTGCCTCTTCCTTCAAAGAAAAACAATTTAGAAGATCCCACTCTGAGGTGGGTTTTTTTTTTATATACAGACAGTATTTTCTTACTTGAAAGAGGCTGCAGCATAGTACTAGTTTACTTCTTTTGGGATTCAAATTCATTTTTATGTAAACAGGACATTGGGCCACATCACTGTCAGGAAAAGAATTACTATTTGATTAAAAAGAACATATTCAAGTCCTTTGCTGAGGAGAAAGGCCTTTTAATTGTATTTACTTTTCTTTTGACAGGTCACAGTAGCTATCTTCTGGATACCTTTAAGTTAAAATTCACCATTATTGTAAACTGGACTTAAACTGTGGCTCTAAATCCATATTAAACACCTGCTTAGCAGTGGTGTTAAAAGTGTTTACACTCTGCAAAGACTGACCTGCTTGTATTAAGAGACCTCCTAAGGCACTTGTGAACTAAAGACTTTAACACATTATTTGAATGCAACTTGCTGCTTTGATAGAATTTACAAATTCTTTATTTAAATCCATGATCTCTCATTTACCTGTATTTCCTTGAATAGAAAGGAGATCATTTGTGACTCCACGTAGGGTTTCTAGAGTCGAGTGGGTTACATCATACGTTGGAAGGACTATGTCTCTTGAATCCAAAGAGCCACACCATGAAATGACAGGTATAGGACCAGGTGTATCATTAGCTTTCCGATACTCAACTGGCCAATCTCCAACATTAAGATAGAACTCCACATCAGGAAGGTGAACCTAAATGTATACCCAAGAAAGGATAATAACAAAGATAGAAGTTGTTTGTCACATATATTCCTTGGTTCTCTTATGTCATGCAGTATCAATAAACCTCCTAGTTAGTTAATAGATTTAGCTGAGCTTAAGGGATGAATTTCAAGTTTCTGCCCCATAAGTATGAAAGGAACACTCACGGAGACCAGCAAAAGCCTTGCAGAGCTGGGCCTTTGCCCCTGCAGCTTTCCTAGCAATTTAATTACTGTCAAGTTCATCTCCCTAATGTTATCCCTAAGATATACTGTCATCTTGATGAAAAAAACACAAGTCAAATCTTACTTGAGGGATTATAAATCTGAAGATACAACAAATGCAGTATTGCCATATTAGAACATGACTGAATAGTTCTACATGATGAAAACTGATACCTTTCTTGCCAGTGACAGGAGCATTTCATCGGAGAACATTTTGAAGTCTGTATACTTCCCTAAGGAGCGACGGTAGATGCGATTATTGAGAATAGTGTAATGAACAATAGCACCTCTTGTCTGACTGAACTTTGCTGGGATTTCCTTAAGCATTCGCTGAAGGTCAATGGTGGGGAAAGAAGTGAAGTCCTTTGTAATCCGAGGTTCTTGGGATGGACAAGACATAACATTCTGCCAGATCTCAGGGTCCTCTTCAGGACAGTCACAATATTCATGATAAACTGGTCCTGCAGAAAACAAAGCACTGAGAGTCTGTATTTGTGATTCTACATCAGTCATAATTCCCTAAACACATGGTCATATAAATGTAGACATTACAGTGGCTTGATATTTTTTATTCCAAATTTCCTAAAGTTTTCCTGGGAAATCATGCTCCCTGTAACATTTCCGGGGTTTAGCAGCGTAACTGAGAAAACAGCCACATTCTTCTCTTTTCAGAAATCAAAATGCTCAATTTTTTTGTTCTCAGGGTAAAATTAGTCTGCAAAATGAAGCTCTATTACTGTGCTATCTGCCAAGCATGTAGGGTATTGTAATACAGAATTGTTCTAACTGTCCATAACTACCAAAGCTCAGGTATTAAAGAGTTTCAATTTTAGCTTAATTCAGAACTGTGATGCAATAGTCTCTACCTGTGGTATAAGGTGTTTTCTCTTATGTATAATCAGGTATTCTTTCTGTCCTTTATAAGCAGAGGTGTGAGCAAGAGCCTCGTAGAGCATGAGAAAAAGCCCTGATTTCATAGACTTCTAATCTAAACAGGTTCTGTCCTGTGTCATAGTTTCGTGGCTGCTGGCAAATGTGCATCAGCAAAACCAAAACATACTACTACCTACCTTGAGGACTCAGGACAGTTTCATTTCAGTTTGAAGAGATTTCTAAGTTTATATTTAGGAAATGCTATTGAAAAGAAAAAACCAAAAAACATGACCAGATTCTCCTTGGAGTGGTGAACTGAAACAAGGCTCTCCAGAGAAGTAACTTTATGTTTTCCTTTGCTAAACAGCTGTCCATTTGAGAGCAAGAGAAGGAAGATAAAGAAGCAGATCTGGAATGAGAGAGTAATTTGCTTTGTTTTCCCTCCTTTTAAATATTTTTTTTATAGTATAGGTCTGCACTGAATTAAACTGGGCTAATGGAAAGGAAGTTAAATATTGTCTGGTTAAAAAAATACTGTCTTTGTTGTTATGAAGGATCATGCTTTTTAGAAATCACAGATAGCTGAAATATATAGTGTCAGGGACACCACAAACTCCTTGCTTTTGCAAGTAGTATTTTCTACTTTAGATAAAAATAACACAATGTTTAAGTGAATACTTGCTTGGAAACAGTAAAAATATGAGCACTGCTCTCTTATTTCCTACCAAATCTGAAGAGATCCATTCCCCCATGCAAGAGGGAAGAGGAAATACCCAGACACATCACCTTAATGTCAGGGGCCAAAATCTACATACTTATGCATCTAAGTCCTGTAAGTTGGCAATGTACAGAGATTGTCACTGCTTACTTCTCTGTGTAATAATATTTGTGAGGAGAGCACATGAACAAGGGCAAACAGACCTCTAATTTCCCACCTCTTCCTAAAATTAATCCATAGCATTTCTGTGGCTACTACTATATATCAAATAAAAAACATAGCCTCACCTTTTAAAATATAAGGAGATTGTGCTACATGCTGATCACCATAAAGTATGTCAATTTTTAACCCTTTTCTGACACTCCCATACATTCGATACCGCATTAGAAATGTGCCATCATTTCTATCCAAAGGCCGAGGCGTGTAAATTCTGGTGACTTCTTTTGGAGAAAGTGCTTTAATTACCACTTTAAACTCTGTTCTTCCTGAAAAGAGCAAAATAAAACCAGACAAAAGCACTTTAAGCTCATAGAATCACATATGCAAAATAAAAGTGACAGCAAACTCTATTGGATTAAGTCCATGGAATTTTATTTAACTTTGCACTAGAAATTTTTCAATTATACCAAGTTGGTAAAATAAATTTCCAGTGATGGAAAGTGATGGAATATCATCCTAGCAAATTTTCTTGATCATCACATACCTAATAAATGGAAAACCTGTAGATGGAGATAAAAAGTTAAATAATGATTACAAGACAGAAGGAAATGCTAACAGTATTTTGAAGCAAATATTAGGTTTAATATTAAGTTTTCAAGTTAGTGGTCTCTGGAGTAAGACAGTTAGGAAACCAAGTTAAAATAACAGGAGAAAAGAATACTTGCCAGCTTGTGGAAAGGCAGTTGCAGCATGCAGGAGTCAGATATAAATCCACCTTTGGGCTGCAGCTGACTGTCTCGCAAATTTAAAGTCCCAGCTACTGAAAAGCAGGGATAAGAGAATGATAGTAGATAGAGATTTACCCTGGACATCTGTCTGACCTATGCTTAAAGATCACCATCATTTCATCGTTAATGCAGTGTGATATTTTAACAGGGCATGGAATGTCTTGGAGACAACAGGAATATGCATAAACATAAATCTGTTATGTTCCTTATTTCTGTCACAAATGGTCAGCATCAACTTTATTCTTCAAAAAAAGAAGGGACAAGTTATTCACAAAATATTACAGTCTAACCTTTGCAAACCAAACAAATGAATGCATGTTCCACAAAGCAGTATACAGAAAGACATGGAACTGAAAAAATCCAGATAAAATCAAGATGTTATTAAAATTCCAATGCGTCCCAACAGCACTGACTGACTGAGATGTTGCAGTTAATTCTATACAATCCATATTTTAATATACTTTGCATCCACAAATAAACACACTGATGTGGTAAATACAACAGTCATTTAATCATGTCTTTTTAGAGCACTGCATCTTGAAATCAGATTCAAGTCAACTACTGTGCAAGAGTCTCCAGATTAAATTAGGCACAACCCTTATGATTTCAGACATGTATTTCCTGACATGCGATGCCTCTTCACAGAGAACAGTTACCCTGAGTAACTCGGATTCTTCCAGATGTTGTTGTCAAGAGCTGATCCCTCAATCAATAAGCATATGGTCAGTGTCTGTGAGCGGAAGACTCTCTCACAGCTGAACACACCCTCTTCTGCTTTGCGTTCCAATGTAAGAATATAAAATGTCGATTATTTATAATCAGTTTTCTTACTATTCAAGGACCACGCCAACTGAAGTTGCTAAGGGACACGTGACATTCCTTCTTGGAATGCCAGTGTGGCAAACAGCACTCCCACCAACTAAGAAATGCAGAATATTGCCTTCAGTAGCTAGCAGATGTATGATGAGAAGCCCTCATTTGATTAAGTATCAGTCCGGAATGATTTCCAGAAGTGCACCTCTGACCTCTCAGAGGTAGAGGAATGTTAAAATTGCTCCCAATATGCGGTACTTCTTTTTCAGAGGAATGATGAGTGGAAACCTTCCTGCTTGCCTCGGTAGTAGGCTGAAGGGACATGAGCAATACAGCTATGCAGTATGACATTTCCCTGGGCAAGTGTAGCTCAAGCAATGCTAATAGACTGAAACGCCACAACAATTTCTATGAATGGCACCTCCACAAATGGAGACTCCATAATCTCTCTGGGTAATTCACCCCAGTGTCTGACCACCTTCACAGCACAATTTTTTCTTGTGTTCAGACTGAATTTCATGTGACTTATTCCTGTCTTCAGGAATCTCTCCTGTTTGCTGTGATCTTCCAGAGATGATCACGAGTGGCCTCACAAGGATATTAGCCAGCTCCCTGAGCACTTCTGGGTGCATGCCATCAGGCACCACACCTGGGCATGTCCAGATATTTAAGTGTTCCTTAACCAGTTCCTCTTCTACCAGGGGTAAGTCTTCCTTGTACCAGACTTTCCCTCTGGTCTCAGGGGCCTGGGATTCCTGAAGGCTGGTCTTACCAGTAAAGCCTAAGGCAAAGAAGGCAGATTTATTTAACTATCCCAGCAGGGATATTTTGAGATGTAATTAGTTTATACTGGAAATTAGTGCCCTAACAAATATTACCAACTGCAATTCCTACTGACATTTTACAAACAGAATTTGAACATCTCAAATCATTTGAGAACTGAAATTTACAGCCCGTGTCTGTATGAGTACATTAAACAGTGCTCATGTGATGGAATATGATCAGCTGTACCACTACATTGTTTAAAGATCCTTGGCTCCTAAATAATTCCTGGCAGTTAGTGTGGGCCAAACCAGCAGCTCTTCCGTGTTGGCAGCACGCATGCACCACCTCAGAGTGGAGCCTACAGAATGTCATTGTGTGAATGGAGACCACTCCATGCCAGATGGCGTCAGGACCCGGAAACACTCTAAAGACGCAGAACTTATTAGTATAAATACTAACATGAACACACTGAGGTCAAAGCTAGGTTCTCAGTACCTACCTCCTATCAAGTTTATCTTGGAGGATTTAAACTAGCATGAGAATCCAAATGAGCTTCACACCTTTTTATCTTTAACAGCCAGTTGTTTGAACCCAAGGCTCTCCCCACGTGGCTGAGTGAATGTGCAGTTGCATTCTTCAGTACATGTCAGTAGTACTGATGTTGTGCTGCAATCCAGCACCAAGTTGCACAGCAGCTGGAGAAAGTCCAGACCTGAAGTCTGTGGGGTTCTGTCTGACTGAAGACGTAAGCTGTATGACAGATGTCTACTGTTTAACTGCACAAGCAGCAGCCTGCTAGCTGCAAGACAGGAAGAGTCCATGCACACTCGGTAGGTAATTTCTCAGTACCATCTATATCAACAGTAAATAACACAGAGCAAAATAATGAGCTCTTCCTTATTACATACATTAGCAACACAGGATTTCCACTGCATGTCTATCTCATGATGAAATCCTAAATGCAAAAGTGGGTTTTATTCTAAATTACAACTACTAATACAGAGTTTGTGGAATTAACTTGCAGCAGAGAACAGCTGACTGGCAGCATGTCACCGGACTGCGAGAACAAACCCCAGTTTCCACCCTCGGAAGAAGTGTCAGAGGAAGGTTTGTGCTTGTGCTGAGTAAACAAGAGGAAAATTGGTCCTTCTTAATAAAGCAGCAGTAGGATAACGGAGCCCAGAGTGCTGTGTTGAGACAGACGCTGTAAGCAACTGGTGTGTGTTCACCACTACAGCAGATAATGACATCAGCGCTTCTCAGCAGGGTTCTGGGATTTCTTTACCAAGAGCGCTGGTTTATTCGAGCTTGCTGCTGTAAATCACACACTTTCAAGGCTATGGGCAAGACGCGGAGCTCGACGGAAGGAGGCACTGAGCTGCACCAGGAGAAAGGAGGGATTTGAGCATGTGCTCCGCTCACCCGCCCGCCACCGGACCTGCGTGTCCCGGCCGGCTCTGGAGCAGGCGGATGCTGAGTGGGGCTGGAGGAGAGTGGGGCAGCCAGCGGTCGGAAGCAGGGAGAGGAGGAAAAGGAAGAGGGAAGGGGGAAAGGGGAAAGAGAAAAAGGGAAGGAGTGTGCAGCTCCGCCGGCTCCTCCGAGGACACCGGGGGCAGCCGGGGCAGGGTGTCCATCCCGCCCGCCCGCAGCCCTCTCACAGTACCTGGCGGGGAGCGGGAGAAGTTGCGTCCGGCCGTGCTGACCGCCTGGATGTAGAAGTACC